CTGAGGGTTGGTGGGAACCTGTGTTAGTGCTACTTAGAAAAATAGCTGGGAACTTATTTGTGACCAGGACCCCACTTAAATGAGAGTGGCTCATCTGTTGCACACCATTATTTTTATTTCTCAAACTCCCTGCTCTGCTAAAAATGTTATATTTTCTGTCTGCCCCTTTTTTTCAGTTGTCCATTAATCAGCAGTTCAGGGTTTAGGATATGACTTAGAGGAGGAAAAATTGACAGAGATTTATGAGTATCTGCCTTACATGGATAAAATAAAACCTCATCCAAAAATTATATTCCTTACTGAATACCTATTTATTTTTTAACTCACATCTTCCCAGTGGTAGCGATCGGTATATGCTTCATAACTTCCCTGCTTCCAGCCTGCACACACATCCCTTTTGCAGCCAAGTGGATGCTTTTACGAATTAAAGATGTAGACAGTGCTTCATGCAGCCTGATTCAAACAAGTGGTAACCTGGGAACTCACCTTCTGAAACTGAAGAGGGTGCATCTTGAAGAATCCACCACGTAATAAAGAATTCTTGGAGATTTTTCCAGACTTAGACTACTTTGCATTCAGAAAAATCTCTGTTCAGACAGTTGATTCCTAAGTTTCTGCTCTGCAGTAACTTCTGTTAAGTTATTTTAAGTTATAGTATAAGTTACATTATGTAAGTCACTGCTTAAGATTTTTTTTGGTGCTACATGTCTGGACAACAGCATGAATTTCTCATTTTATGGGCCTGACTTAAGGTTAAAATTTGCAGCTTTGTTATGTCAAGTGACTTGCTGCATGTTAGAAATGGAATTGGAGCCAAGATTAGCTACTCAGTTGAGTTTATTTTTGGTAATTCTTCTAATACGTAAACGTGATTTGAATTTAAAAAATCTGAAGCTGGTGTGGGGGGTTGTTTTTATCCGACGTGGCCAGTGCCCTGTTAAATGCAAGATCAATACAAAGGTTTTCATGTTATTGGCTGGGGTTTTGGTGTGGTTTTTTGGTGTGTGTTTTTAAGGGTATTCCCCTCGCAGTGCCTATAAAGGTGTGAATCTGACTTTCCTCTTCATTTTTCCTATGTGTATTTAGGAAGGAATTTTCAAGTTGTAAAGTAGTTTAAAAGTCTTGAAATCACCAGTTAATGGAGCAACTGAAGTTAGGATATCCCAGCCTGCTTTGAAAAGAAAATGGAATACTTACAGTTTAGCATTTAATGCAGGCTGATGGTGGGAGTGCAGGCTTCAGAGGCAAATTGCTTCATTTGAGCGGAGAACTTGCTGATGGAAGTTAACTGTTAGTGTATTATCATGCAGCGTTCCCTTTTCTTCACAGAGCTACAGCTCTGGGAGAAGCAGAACAGCCAGTTCTTAACGTTTAATCCCAGAGCAGAGAGCTGGATAATCCCAAGTTTTCGAGTGGGATCAGATGGAAATGGGCATTGAAGCTTCTCTGCTGCTGGGGCTGCCTTTCCTGGTGCGGGGAGACTCTTGGGGAAGTTGGGTTTCCCCCAGTCCATTGTGAGTGACAGGCCGTGTTGGAAAGAGTTAATCAGAACAGAGGAGAGATTGTCCTCTAATTGGGTGTCTCTCCAAGATCTCCTGGGCAGCGTGTGCTGCTATTTTTACGGGAGGAATCTGTTGCCAGTCTACGGAGCACATGTTTTGGAGCGGAGCATGAGAGCGCCAGGCATTATGAAAGTAACTAAGCTCATTAGTGGCGAGGGAGGGCTTTGCTGTATTAACTGTGATGTTGTAATATCTCTGTCTAATTAGCTCTTCTGCTAATTAGATTAAGAGCAATTAAAAGCTGTAAAGACTTTTGAGAAGTTTTTTTGGAAAGGGCTGTAAGACTCAGGTACACGGCTTGCTCTTTGGGAAGGAGCATCGTGGTGTGTGCTCGGTGGTGTCAGTGCCTGACTTAGATTAATTGCCAATTAATTATTGAAGGCTACATGCAGTCTATCACCGTTACCCCTGTCCTGGTACTAGATGTGTAACTTCTCTAAGGATCTGGGTGTTCTGCAAGGACTGGCAGCTCAGCTCAGCAGAGCCAGAAACAGGAGACGTGCACACGTAGTGCTCTCACCCGGAGAGATTATATTTTTTTCTTGGTTTAAAATAAACCGTTCTGATTGAAAGCATCTGCTTTTTCTTTTGCATAACAAAAATGTTTTCCAAAATTAAAGTCTTCTGAAGCACAAGTCTCTGCAGTCTCCTGCGGAGATTTTTATCCGAAAACCAGCAGTTTAATCTACAGAAATGTGTTGTGCTTAAAGCTGTCATGATGAAATCTTACTCGTGATCTGTCAGATTCATGGAAAACCTTCAGCACGTAGCACTGAGGCTCTCTTACTTCCTTAAAGGGCTGTGAGATTCTAACTTTGGATCTCTGTCCTATCTTGACTATAATTTGAAGGTTAAAGCTCAAAATGTGCAAGGAATTGGTTAAATCGAATTACTAAGCCTGTTGAGTGCAGTATCTATTCAGCAGCTTGGTCGTTGTGAGGCTTTAGTGCTATGAGGGTTGAGTGGAGGGTCGCTGAAGATCCCATTTTTGGGTTGGAAGGCTCAGTAACAGAGCTGTAGCTTCTAGAAAGAGATCAAATACTTCTCATGCTTTTTTTGAAAAGGGTGAGGGCTCCAGTTGTGGGGAGAATGGGGTTGTCTTTGTTAGATACTGAGGCAAAATTACGTGACTGGTGGTGTTGATGGACATGCTTGCCATGCTAGGAAATCATAAAGCAGGATCTTTTTGAAAAGTTGTTATTTTAGCAGGTCCCATTTCCACAGAGAGCACAGGGGCAGAACGTCGCAGTCACCGAGCAGCTGAGAGCATCTTTATTTCTTCTGTGCTTAACACCAACCTCTGCTCCTCACTCGCTTGGGAAGAGGGAGCATCAGAAGCCCAGGTCTGGATGGATTCCCAGGATGGAGTCCTGCAGGGTTTAGGGATTCCAGGGTTTTTCCCCAGAGCTCACAAAGAGCTGTGGGCTCTTCAGCTGAGCTTACGCCACCAGCCCGGCAGCTCGAGTCCAGAGTTGCTGTTGACTTACAGGGAACCTCTAGCTCAGGTACCCAGCTGTGTGCTCTAGGCTAAATCTCTACCTGGTGATGAGAGAGGAGTGACAAGCTGCCGTGGGAGCTGCTACAGCATAGATTGATCAGGTGCTTTATAAATGAGATAATGTGTCTTTATGTATTAGCAGCGTTTCTATTTCTGAGGCACTGCGGTTTATTTTCCTACTGGAACGCTAAAATGAGGGATCTGATGTGACCAGAGCTTTTCTTAACAACTTTATATTTGTCACAGATAAATTTTGCTCTCTCACACACGTAATTACTTATTAAATGCTTGTCACTGATAAAGGATGCAGCTTTCTCCTGGCAGTTGCTGTTAAAATCTTTTGACCCACCTGATGCTCTGTCTCCCAAGCACTGCCTTTCAGTGACTGTTGCTTTTGGGCTTTGCTGTGAAGGATTTGGTGAGTTACAGGATAACACTCTCAGCACGATTCCTACCTGTGTGTATAACACTTCACAGGGCTGGTTTGGCAACATAATGCAGAGAAATAAATATTTTACTTCTTCCTGCTGCCATCTCCTGGGTGGGGAAAGGTGAGGGGCAGTAGAGGGGGCAGAAGCTGCTGAAGGGTGTCCTACAGCCACCATTAGAGCAGCTCCAGGGCCAACCAGCTGGTAGATCCTTTAACTCCCAAAGCATTGGAGGCTTATTTCCTTTGATTTTTTTTTTTTTGTTGTTCATTATGGAAATTATCTCTGTAATAGGAGTATTTTGGAAGCAGGCACTCAAACTGATGGAAAAACCACTATTGGTGGTTAGCGTAAGTGTTCTTTTTTGCCTCAATTTTCTGAAAGGACCTATTATTAAGATAAGTATTTCAAAGTTATTGTGAACCAGAATAGAATAGTTAAATATGCTGTGCACTGACCTTCTCAGCTTTGAAGTGAGCTTAATAGAAGAAACCCTTAATGAATGTATTCCAGGAATAATTCCTTGGCATTGCAGAACCAAGTTTGAGACTTCTGGTTCGAGTGAAGTACTCGATGACTGCGTTTGTGTTACAGAGGATTTTGTCTGCCTGATGTTGCTCAGCAAACCAACCAGGGAGGGGAAAAAAAAAAGCTTTGCTTCACTTCTCTGGCTCTTCTGTCTCCACCTTCTGGAAGTTGATAGCAAATAATTTAATATCAGCTTCCTGAGTTAATTCACTGGAAAGCAAATGTGTTTCAAGATGCATTTTTTCACCCTAGTTAAAGGATGTCATCAGGGTTTTGTTTTAGTTTTTCCAAAACACTGAGTCTGGGGAGCAAATAATTGGGATGAAAATTCTCTTTAAGGCAAAACTGTCTTTTTAGAAAAAAAAAATTATTTTATCACCTCTGCAGCGTGTGTCAGAGTGCAGCCAGCCAGGAGCTCAGCTGGTTTAACTGCTCTGGGCATACTGTTGTAAAAGAATGGACTCAACCTGTGGTGTCCCAGGTGACCTCTTCCAACTGTTACCGTCTGAATGTTCTTGGCAGGTGTTTTCAGAGGTGAAGGACTATAATTGGGAATTTCGGAGAGGACAGTCTGGCCCACCACAGGTAGAGTGGTGAAAGATGTGCCTTCAAAGAGTAACTGTGCCTTATATCAGACCTGCAGGTGAGGAGACATAGAAGGGAAGGAGAAAGAGGCAGAAGGTGGTGCTTCAGAAAAATGTATGCTCAGGGTTCACTCTCCCTCTGGCTTGTTGTTTGGGTGGTATTCTTCTTGTTCTGTTCCCTACCCTGAGCTGCTCCCTGGCCAGCAGTATTGTGTCGAGGCTCAAATGATCATCTTGGTTCCTCAGAGATGACTTGGAAAGGAATTGGTCGGTTGGGTGCAGGCAGAGCCATGAGCTGTGAGTGAAGGCTTTGTAGCCTGGTGTCACTTGGTGTTTTTTTCAGAATTGCCTTTATCTGGGAATTCAGGTCTTCTTCCCTGGCCCTTCTTGTCCCTTTCAGGTCGCAGCTGCTCCCTGGTGGTTGCCTGTGAAAGGAGCCAACTGGAAGCACCCTGAGGGTCCTGACTCTAATATCTCCAAAAGGTGAGTATTAAGTGGCCATTCAGTTATAACACACGATGCTTGTAAATGTACCTGTAAAATTGGACCAGGAATGGAGGTGCAAGAAAGGGTTGCTTGCTGCTTCTGCGACTATTTTCACATTTTCTAGTGTTCTGCACACACTATTCATTCAGTGGTCATGTGGTCAGTGGCATAATAGTATTTCAAACGGATCTATAAACATTTTCCACCCAAGGGAAAAGAAACCCTACTGAAATGTGCCTCAGTGTGTTTCTATTGGCATTTATACATCAGCAGTGAAACAGAGGAGGTCTTTAGAAGATCAGCAATTTCAGAGCATTCAGTGTGGATCTGGTTTTGGAGAAGGAGACTAAATGCAAACTGCACGTGTCCAGGTAGTGTGTCCTCCTTCTGGGATTTGAAGCCCTGTCTCTGGCAGCAGATGACTGAAGACTTTTGTGCTGTTTAATATATTTTGACTTTGTGGGCTGATAATGGTGGAAAATCAGTTGTGACTTCGTTATCTAAAAGCTCTAAATGCTTTAGAAATCTGTATTTTTTCTTAGCCCATAGTTAGTGCCATGCTTTTCTAGCAGGAAACCTTGAAACTTGCTGATCCACGTTTTTATATGATCACTTTCAGTCCAGACTGGGTTGCACAAGTCAGGCAGTGTTGTGGTTGGGCACATTGGGTATATCACTGTGTGCTTGGATGTGACTGTCTTCATTCCTCTCTCTCGCAGGCAGGTGGCAATGAGGTTGGCAAGAGCTGCTTAATCAACTAGTTAAAGTTTCAAAACTGCTGTTTGAAATGAAGTCACTCTCCAGCCTAGATCTAGTAGAGGCTGGTGTGTCTTTGAGTCCTCTAGGGACGGGGCTACGTTAGTGTCTGAGGGCTGAACCGCTTAGTAACACGTCCATTGTCCCTTCTCCAAGGGCAATGAAAGAATTATCTGAGGCAAAAATAGAGATAATATCAGGAGGTGTTGTTAGGGGGAGACAGAGGAATTTAGGACACAGCCAGCAGAGGAGAGCTGGAAACCTGCCATGTGAATCTAGTGGTGTGGAAGTATGGCACGAACCTAACCAAGTACAGCTTGCCACATGGAAGTAGTCAAATGGGCCAAGAGGCACCCACTGGCTTGGTAAATGAGGCAGGAAGTCTGTCTTCTGGATCAGTACCATCAGCTCGTGGAGCATCTTGGTCTGTTAGAGGCTGGGATGGAGAGGATTCTTGGGACAAGAATGACAGGCCATTCTTTCTGTCTTTTTTTTGAAAAATGAGACCACAATTATAAGGGCAATCCTGCAACCAAACCTCTGTAAACTGGACTGCTTGAATCACCCGAAGAAAAATACTTTTGTTGTTAAATTTCTGCAGTTCCCTGTTTCCTGGCTTGGCTGCTGCAGAAGATGGTGTAGCTTAGGAGTAAGGGCTCTTTCTCATCTTGCTTCTCCCTCAAAAACCCCACGACTGCCAGAAAAGAACGTGCAGTGAAGAGAAGAGTGTGCAGGGAGGTGAAGAGTATGTGCCATTAGATTGCAATGAAAATTTTCCTACTGAGAATCTTGGCTTCTTGTTAAGATACTGTTAAACTTGGGGTCCCTGAGCACCAGTGATCCCACATGAACCCCTGTGTCAGTGGTTCTCTCCTGGCAGCAGCAGGTTTCTGAGGGCAACCTGTGAGAAAGCCCAAGCTACAAATGTCTTAAACTCTTTAGAGCTGTACAGAAAACTGTGAAGAGATGAACAGAACTTAATTTTAATTTCTCTGCTAGCTGCATTTCCCATCTAGCATCTACTAGTAGCCTTCTTGTCTGTCTTTCGTAGGAGAGAAGCTATTTAATCTGGTGCCTTCTCCAGTTGTAACTGGGAATTTCCTCACAGTCCTTTGTGGCCATCTCCCAACAGAGTGCCCGTGCTGTGTAGCTGTGAGGTTGCCTGGTTCTGCTGCTGATCTTGCCCTGTTTCTTTTGTTCCCCAGAATGGATCACCCTGTTCTTCACGTTTCCTGGAATGATGCTGTGGCCTTTTGCAGCTGGGCAGGGAAACGATTGCCCACCGAGGCTGAGTGGGAGTACAGCTGCCGGGGGGGCCTGGAGAACAGGTACCTGTCATAAATGTGTCCCTGAAAAGCCTTTAAAACTGGTCTTTAGGAGATAACGAAGAGTTGTGTGGGGTTTTATTCCCCTCAGTTTCTTTTTCCTGTGTAGTATGTACTTCTGTGGTAAATACAACACTGAATTACTCTGAGCAGACTCCTTTAGGTAAGTGCATGTCCCTGAATGGTGTGTGCTCATCTGAACTCTGCAACGGGAGGAGAGAACCCAGGAGAGGGGGAGATGGGACAAAATGCCAAGTCCCAGGGCTGCTGCTACTGCAGGAGATGAAAGGCATAGAGAAGGATTTCAGTGCCAAGGCTGAACGAGTTGCAAAAGAGCTTAAGAAGTAAATAACTGTCACTGCAGGGTGATTGTAGGGCCACTGCACCCACCTGGCTCCTGACTCTGGGCTTGGGGAGGAGGGAAGCCAAGGGGAATCACAGGCTTGTGCCTTCTCCTTCCTGCACCATGTGCTGCACAGGGCAGTGCTGTCTTTCCCTCCTCATGGACCTACTGTCCTCCTAGAATCCTTGCTCTCCTCAAAAACCACCTAGATGCTGGTGCAAATGGAACTGGAACACAGACAGTTCTCTGGGGTAAGGTGGGGAGGAAGTTTGGGATTTGTGTGGTGCGTCTCATATTTTTTTTTTTCTAATTAAGATTTAAAAAAAAATAGAAAAGAGAAAAAAGTGTTTGCCAGCTGTTCTTCTCTGTGTCTTTTAATAGACTTTTCCCGTGGGGCAACAAGCTTCAGCCCAAAGGTCAGCATTATGCCAACATCTGGCAGGGAGTGTTCCCAACAAACAACACCGGGGAAGACGGGTACAAGGGAACGGCGCCTGTAAGTGTGTCTCCAAGTGCATCAGTCCTTTGGAAACGAGCTTTGTCTTCCTAAAACTGAGCTCTGCCTTCAGCACAGTGAGCTGGGCCTGGTTTCCACTCCAGTACTCTTTCACCTTTAGATTTTTAAAGAAGTCACAGTGTATCTCACTGCAGGCTTGGGTATTACCAAGGGACACTTTTTAAAAAGCTAATTGAAAAGTAAAGATTACTTTCATTTAAACTTTTAGTTCCTCTTAAACTGACCTCTTTTCCCCTTTCCAGTCAGGTTATAGTCAGATGCTGAAATACTCTCTGACTGCGCTTTTGGCATTGCAATTTTTTTGCACTCTCATTTTTTGGATAGTTATTTTCAAGGCACAAAAATCGTGCAATAGTTTAAAAGAAATGAAACTTCCCTTTTTGGAAAGGTTGAGTCTGTCTCGTGTGGCAAACAACAGAGTGGAATTATAAGATAAATCGAGGGTATGAATGAAGTATTAAATGATAGTTAAAGTAAGTCCAAAGAGTCTCATCAGCAGAGAAGCCTGTGTGTGAGTTGAGAGCCAGCCTTGCTTTCCTGGGGTGGGAAGGGGAAGCTGGAATTTTTAAGCCTGTGGGGGTTAGATCAGGAATGCTACGTGCAGGTCTGTGTCTGCTCAAACAGGGACCTGTTAGAGCATTGGTCCCCAAATCCAATGGGAAGACACTGTGTGCCATAGTGGGAATGTGGTGCTGAGATTGTCAAGGGTGATAAGAGTTCATTCTTTTGTTCTGTTTTACTTAAGTGGAGCATGTAAAGGTGTTACAGTTCTGCTGTCTGCTGCTGGGATATGAAGGCAGAAGCTCCTAGTAGAGATAGATGCCCCTTTGACAGATGGGTTTTCAGGGTTAAAAGCTGTATTTCATGTTGAGTGGCTTAAAGACCTGGCCCTTTGTTATATCTCTCACAGGTCACTGCGTTTCCTCCCAATGGCTACGGGTTGTACAACATTGTAGGCAACGCCTGGGAGTGGACCTCTGACTGGTGGGGGGTGCATCACTTGCCAGAGGAAGTTCACAACCCTGTAAGTATTTTACTGGCACCACAGGAGGTACAGAATTCCCTCTCACTGCTCTGATCTGGTTCCTGTTTGGAAACCCACTCTGTGCTCCCCCCTGCTGTGTCTGGGGTGGGCTGTGTTCTGGTGGATTAGGAAGTATCTCACCACAAATCACCCATTCGGGAACTGTGCTGCTGGAGTGCAGTTTCATTTATTTATTTTCTGGACAGGCCTTCACACCTGGTTAACAGTTGAATGCGTCCAAACTGGCATCATACTATATAAATCAAGAATTTGCCAAAGCAGTGGAATTACTTACAAATAAAAAAAAGAGAAGGGTTTGGTTTGTTTATGCTGTTACGAGCTGTACTATCTTTTTTTTTTTTTTTCAAGTAGAGAACAAACCATCTTGAATTATCTTTATGGCTTCCACTAGCTCATTTAAAATGCAACATGCAATAAAGCTGAAGTTTATGGGGAGAAGTAGCTTACTGGGCTGTGAGAGGTCAGTCCTTGGTTTTGTCTGTGGCAGGCAGAGGCCGAGGTCTGTGAGCTCTGTGTGCAGGGTGTCTCCTGCTTATCTCTCTGCAGATTCAAGTCCTAATATTCCACCTCCTTCCTCTCTCATGTGTCCAGGATGACTAAACCTGTGAAATGCCCTGCTCTGCTCTCACAGAGCTTGTTTTGTTCAGCCCCAGTTATCTGTAAGGAGAAAACCAGCTAAACCTCACGGGGCAGGAGCTCTCCGTTGGCAGGATTTGGGTATCCCCTTATGAGATGTGCCACCTGTTCTCTCAAGGAGCAGGTGATGGGACAAGAAGAAATGGCCTCAAGTTGCTCCAGGGGAGGTTTAGGATGGATATTAGGAAAAAATTTTTAAACTGAAAGAGTTATCAAGCCTTGGCAGAGGCTGCCCAGGGCAGTGGTGGAGTCACCATCCCTGGAGGGATTTAAAAGCCGGGCAACCGTGGTGCTGAGGGACATGGGTCAGTGGTGGGTTCATCAATGTTGGGTTGATGGTTGGACTCGATGATCTGAAAGGTCCCTTCCCACCTAGATGATGCTGTGATTCTAATTTCTGTTGGTGAGCAGTGTTAGTGGCCTAGTTGTGGCCAAAAAACCCTCCTTTTCCTTTGGACTTTAGCTGTGTTGTATCTCCTTCTCCTACTTTTCTCACATATTGCATAAATTTATATGATGGGATTTGAATATTTCATAGTAGTCAAGATTTTCTGCCAGTTTCTGTAACTCAGCAGTAATGGGAAGCTGTATCCCATGAATTGTCTCTCTGATGGATAAACACCTGCCTTTTTCCACCTTTGACTCATGGCTTGCATACACACACAGCTGAAACTTACATAGAGCTCACACTTAGCATTCAAACTGCTGCTTTAGATTTATTTCTTTCCCTGTTTGCATACTGATTGATTAGCCAAGAAACAGCTGCTGTCTTGCACTTCTGTTTCCATTCTGGTGGGGTTTTTATATGCAATTAAGGATAAATTATTTTTATTCCTCTACCTCAGGAATGGAAACAAGGCCAGATTAAGAGAAACATTTCTAAAGATGAAGCCTTGAGCAACTGGCAGAATGTAAATTTAGATGAAAGTGAAGAATAGAATGAGCAAACTTTGAGTATTGATGTGACCACAGGCTGGAGAGTCAGGGGAGGAGGAGGGTGAGCAAAGCTGGGCTTTCCCTCCCAGACTGTGGAGGAATCACAGAATGCTATGGGGTTGGAAGGGACCTCTGGAGATCATCTCCTCCAACCCCCTGCCAGAGCAGGTCCCACAGGAACATGTCCAGGTGGGTTTGAATGTCTCCAGAGAAGGAGACTCCACCACCTCTCTGGGCAGCCTCTGCCAGGGCTCTGCCACCCTGGAGTATTTTTTTTGAAGTACGGCTACTGTGGCACGATGCTTGGAAAAAAAAATAATCCTTTTTCTTAAATATTGCAGTGTAACACCTTCATTAGGTGGACTTATTTAAATGAGAGGCTTTTGTGTTCAGAAAGGCAATGCGGCAGAGCTTTGGTGTTGAATTAAGGTGCTGGTGAGAAACAAGCGTGGTGTGACTTCTCCCTGTTAAACTCAAGGCTGTTGAGTTTGCTGAAGGTTTTTAATTCAGCACAAACATTTTGCAGACACTTCAGAAAGTTTTTTAAAAAAATTAGATGTTAGCGACGATGCTATGGGGTTTTTTTTCCAGTTGGAAACTAATTGTCAGAATGTAGTGTCTGAGGCAGAGCACTTCAAAGTGAATTCCAAAGGGTTTTTCTGATTAAATGGAGAAGGAAACTGAATCTCACAATGTGCAAAGGTGTCCCAAAATAGCCAGGCTGCCGTTATCTTCTGAGACATTAAAAATGATTAGCACTGTATCTCTCAGAGCCAATCTGTGTGT